TACCAAATAGCTAAGATAATACTATTGTCGTCAGGACATTTCAAACGTTCTAGTTAGTTACATTTAAATGTATAATAATAATATATTATGTATATTATAATATGTCGAGCACTGCAGTAAAATTACAATCACTGAGAGMAAAATAATATTGTGGTCGGTAAATATTAATTATTATGTATGATAATATAATAATAAAAAAAATCACGAAAAAAAACCGAATTCCTATATTTTGGTATTGTGCCATATTTTATTGGATATTAATTCTAATTTCCTAATTGCAAATGTAGATTAACAGTTAACTACCCAATTAAGTGCCGTGGTTACTGCAGATTGGCTATACTCGCGTCACACATTTATATTTATATCATCAGATAAATAATTAATATAAAAAATATTATATAATGAAATATTGTATCAAAGTATAGTAAAATATTCAAAATTAAATTTATTAAATAGATCTTTTCTATAGTATTCTGGTTTAGAATATAAATTTCTTTCTCGTTGTATTCATAATATATAGATARTATTATACATAAAACGCACATTGTGTTAAAAGCTTCTCGATAATAAGGAGTACTAAAGCAGGTTTGTGTGGGGCTATAATATAGGACGTAAGGTAAGTACCTATACGCATCTCAAGTACGCAAGCAGACATCTCACTGATGCGCAGGTCCTGTAAAATTGTTGTCGCCTTGTCGGTGATATTTTTCCTAGCCAATATCCCACCCTCTTCCACCAGCTCGGAAAATTCGCATTCATTAACTCCAAACCGTTAACGTCGTTAACGAGTCTTTTACACATCATCCGGTGGTTCACGCGACGCGAACGAAAATAACGATAATATTTAATATCATTGTCGGTCGCACATTTTCGGGCTGGCCGAACCGGCGACACTGCGACGGCCGGCGTCCGCGACCCATAAGTCTCGGGCCGTCCAAGGGGTGGACGATCGGTGGAGGGCCACCCCGCTCGTCCGCCAACCATCCCTTGCCACAGCTGTGCCGCCGGAGACGAGCTTTTCGAGTTTCAAAAATCGAATTGTTTACGAGTGTCGAGTATCGTTGCCGCCGCCACTCACTAGTCACCGCTGTCAGTCGCCACCGCCGCCGCATCCAGTCAAAGCCACTTACCGTGCAACAGCAGCGACGTTCATCGGGTTAACACCGACCGCAAGATTTACTTGAAAAGTGCCAATAATATTAACGGAATAAATAATATTAGTGTCGTCATTTGTCACACACCGCGAACGGATTCTGTGGCCTATGTGCGCCGTGTTTAGACCGTTGAAATGAAGCTGAAAACCATATCGGAAACCGTAAACAAGGACGAACTGTTCAAAAAGGTAAATCGAAAGTAAAAAATCTCATTGGTTTTCTCGCTCATCTGTAATATGTCCAAGTTGTGCCGCCGCGCTCAACTACCCCTATCACGTTGTAACGCACCCTCTGTAACAGGTAGGTAGGCGCCTATAGTAAATCCGATTATTATGCTTCCAAACTATTGTAGACCTCCTGGGTATCTGCCCAACCACAATCATTTCAATAAATTATTATTATTATATTGAGTATAAATTACAACAGACTGGCAGCCTCGAGAGTGATCGACAAAAGATTTTAGTTACATTCTTATTAAAATAAATCAAGAATTTGTTAGACCAACCCACCATTAATATCTGTTACACTGTTAGTACCTATCGCTTTCAACATTTTGTTGTTATTCTTAAGTACTATCAAAAGAGSAAATGGAAGCATACATATCTTATGTTTTCGGATGAATGTATAAAAGGGTAACTGTATCGTAGTAACAAAAGTAACTTAACGTCAACAACAATATCATACTTAAGTGTGTTTTTATATTTTATTCTGATTCATTATTTTGTTGTATAGGTTTGGAACCTTTCTGCAGATCATTGTATGGATGTTGTATTAATGATGTTCTCACACGCAGAAGGTACAACACTACTTGGCACTCACAAGCTTGAACAATTTATTGTGACTACTGAACTTTGTCGTTTCCCTTCAATGATGTTAAATCGTCCACCGCTGTACCGTCCTGCTCTAGACTGCACAGTTGCAAATGATTTTGTTTCTACAGAATTTGAACGCTATATTGATCTGGTTGAAGACAATGTAAGTATATTTGTATAACCTGTAATTTAGTAAATAATATTTATTATTATAATATAATATATGGTTTATTTGACATCTTGTAAAATATTGTTTGGTATGTTGACAAATAAACTATCTAAAAAAAAATATTGTACCTACTATTTGTTATAACTTTAAGATTTATATMTTTAAATCAGTAGAATTAATATCTTAAATTATTTTAAATTACATAGTGTGATCAGAAACATTGGGTTGATATTTGAAAGGAAAATTATTAAAATTATTTAATTTGAGATAATCATAGTTCTTTACATTTTTTTTCTACTAAAACTGTTAATAATTGTTGAAATATCAAATAGGCTTATGAATTGTCAAGTGCTCCTAATAGTGAAGTACTAGTTATCATTGCAAAYAACGAATGTCGCAAATTTATTTTTGCTTCTCCACGTTTGCGTCCTTATATTATGTCCAAGGAATGCATCTCTGTCATCGAAAGATGCTTGGGCAAAGGTACTTTCTCTGCTGGTCAAGAATCTGATGTGGATAAATAGCAATTAATATCTTTTGCATCACTACAAGTAAGCACTCTAATCACATATACATTAATTAATCATGTTGAATTGTATATTAATATTTTTTATCTTCATTATAGTTCTCAGTGCTGCTAAACGTCTCCTCGTGACATATGATAGTCTTCATGGAAAATCAGTCTAAAAGTACCTATCTTGATGCTTGTCTGTGCTATCTTAATAATAATAATACTAATAATAATAAAAATAATAATAATTTAAATAATAAT